GTGGGGGGGGGGGGGGGGTTACCTCAGCAAGATGCGCCAATGTCCAGAACACGTAATTTATTTCTGTACTAGCCAGTTGCTGCATGCAAAAAGAGAAATGGTCATGCTAATGCTGGATTTTTGGGAGGGGAAGGGGAAGATAGAAAGGAATGAGTACGACTTTCTTCTCTATCAACAGCAAACTCTTAAAATGCAGATGCTGTCTGGGAAAAGACAGCCCATTTTCAAGGACAGTTTTTTAAAAAAAAAAATGGAACCAGCTGTGAGCAAGCTGGAATGAAAGTGTTTTTTGCTCCTCAAATTTAAAGGCCAAAATGTATAAAAATGAAGGCAGAAAGGCTGATACAGGCAACCCATGGACACTTTTCAATCATAACCCGCTCCTCTGAATGCATTTCAGATGAAACACATAGAAATCAAAACTGGAAATAATGCTCCTGTGTACAAATCTGTCCAGTAAATCAGCTAGCTTGATTTATCTACCCAGTCTTTGTGACTTCATTCCCCACTGCTTCCTTGAACGGCCAGCAAAGATAAATGTGTAAATACTTGTGAAGAAATACTTTCCTGTTAAGAAAAGTGACAACTATATTTGAATATGATAGTATTTTCAACCATTTTCTTTGTCAGAAAACTTGTTATCATCTCAGTTCAGAGGCATATTTTCCAGAAAGTATTATACATTTTTTTCATTAAATTGTAAACAATATATTTCAGTGTCTGCATTTTGGATCCATAAAGATGATATATAATTATAAATGATGACATTTACCCAGATTTACAAATTTATGTTGCCATTAAGTTTGTAAGATATTTTTACTATAAATATATCAATGCTTGAGATTCAGTGAGTCTCAATTTGTGATATCATCTAATGGACTAAGGACCAGTTTCAGCTCAAGTTGGCTGTGATCAGTTTCCCTTGAAAGGACATAAATAACTTATTCCATTGTTTTTCAGTACATCTCATTTATGCCTAAGGTCAAAATCACAAACATTTAAAGCATTTAAAACAAATCTATGACTTCAGAATTTTCCTTCATTTCAGCTGATGCACATTTCAACATTCACAAATGAGATTTTCCTGTTATAAATGTCACCACAGCTCCTCCAGCTTGTGCAGGGGAGAATAATCTCCTGTTTCTTGTTGCTCTACAGATTTGCAACAACTAGATGTAGATATAACTGCACACGAAGTCTAATCTCCTGCACTGTTTTCTTTCCTATTCTTCAGGAAACTAATTTTCTTCAGAAAATTAACATATAAACTAACAAGTAAATACTGCTATGCATATATACTCTTTTGAAGAAAAAAAAATCAGGAACTCCCTGTTTCCTTTTCAGGCCAGGATTAGTAGGGAAGGAAAAGGAGTAAACGGGTGAAATTTCCTCAGCATTGACGAAATTGACAAATTCTGTCAGTTTCATCGATGAACTGAGAGGAAAAGGAAAATCATGGTCTATGACATTAATAAAATTTGACCCTGAACATGCCATTTTCAACAAAGATGGAAATATTTATGGTTGAAACAGTTGAGGCATCCTTCATACATTTATTCATGAAGAGATCATATGTGAAATATTCATAGCTGTGCAGAAGCTGAAAATGATGGTGGGTAGAAGACTAAAAATGTGCTTATTTATGACAGCTTTCCCAAACCAGATGATCTCCAGATGTGGACTTCAGCCTCCTTCATGTTCCTCCAAACATATCAATTGGGTTTGCTAGAAGTACATCCGGGTGGATTATAATATATTTGGCACAGTGCTTTTAGTGGAAATATTTATTCTCAACAGGCTTACATTTTACCAAAAAACCCTGATTCATAGCCATGTTGATCCATCAAGAAAAGAAATCCGAAATCCACAGCTGGCTAATAAATTTTGATTAAAAACACAGAAGATGCAATATGTCTCTGTTACAAGCTAACTTATTTTTGCTTGCTGAGCCTCTGAGGGCCAACATTTAACAGCCAAGCCTCAAGTTTCTGCATTACCACATCCTGAAAGTTCAGGATGATAGCAAGAGCTTATTATCTAGAAAGTGCTATTTCTGTTCAATATTCAGACCTGTTTCTATATAATTTGATGTTCCATTACCTTATTCAGCATTTTTAATCTTAACTTCCCAACATTTAATATAAAGTATCTATCATACCATTTCACAGATATGCATTAAATCATGACCTGCCCAAGTCCAAAGCAGAAATAGGACTTGAATCCAAGACCCTACCACTCAATCCTCAGGAGTATACTACCTCTTAAAAAATACTCAGAATACTCTAGTTCCCAGATAGATGGTTTGAATGCTACTATGCAACACACACTGCAGAGCTGTTATGCCTCCCTCTCGTTAATGGATCCTCTGTAATAAACTAACAAATAGGAACAAATAGGAAAACATGGGATGTTTATAAAAAGAAGCCAATGATAGTTGGCTTCTGTGCATGGGCAACTACCCCATTAAAGCAAAGGTTTTAGTTCTGCTTCTTCATGACTTCTTCATGACTTCCACCATTCAACATTTACATCAGGTTTTCCCAAATTCTCTTCTGTAGCAACAGCAGATAAATCCTCCAGCCAGTCACCAATGTATTTATAAAGGAGAGATATTGTCTAGCTAAATGGAGAGGAGTGTTTACTCTTCCTCACATTTTTGGGAAGGATGAACTATCTTCCATCCTGCTTGACAGCTTCCCTGTCAGTGAATATTGTAAGGCAAGTCTGAAACAAGGGATCCACAGCTGCTCAGAGACAGGATCAAACTGGATTACCAAACTGTAGATTTTAATAGCATGTTATCCAGTTGCACCCACCACGGGGCTAGACCTCCTTTTCCAAGGCACAATGGCTCAGGCTTCTTTATTTAATGTCATGATCCCCATCCATTTGCATTGTGCCTGAGCCCAAGGCAGCTTCATGTTAGCAGAGCTTACCCTTAAGAACTCAACCAAGCAGGTACAAGAGCTGTAATCCTACAGAGGTGCCCCACTATTCTCAGACTATCATCCCCCTCCCTGGAGGTTGCTACCTTCTTTGACTTCATAAAAATAACAGCCACAGGTCTAAGTCATCTAACACAGAAAAAAATAAAGCTACAATTTTTTTGTTATGTCAAATAAATAATATTCAGAAATAAACACTTAATCTTTTGCAACATGAGTTTTCTCCCCCTTTATCATATTTTGTAAACCTGATTCTTTTTTTCTCATTTGAGAGAGAAAAGGAAGTGAAGCTTCCACTAGAAAAAAAAAATGCCTCAGAAATCATTCATTTCCCAGGTATCAAAAAATTAACAAATCCAAAGGCTTCGGAGCCAGCAAGATATGGCTATATCATGCATCTTCTTGGCCAAGATCCAGATGTGTCATTCAAGGAGGTTCTGTGAGTTTAGAAGGCATTCTGAGGCTCTTCCTTCTCACAGAAGCTCCTTTTACCAATTCCTGACCATCGGCACTCAGGATCCCCCCAAATCAGCCTCTGAGGTCACCCAAGGATCAGGGATTCGCAAATGAAATCCATTGCAAGCATGAAGAGAACTTTTTTGGGAAGCCCAGATCTTGCATTCTGAACAACTCTGACCCCTTAATATCACTAACACAGAGCACATCCATTCAGCCCTTTGTTTTTAAGCTGCCTCTTTTCACCTGATTATCCAGTTTTCATTACCCGGAAAAACAAATGATTAATCACGTTGGCAAAAGCATATCCTCATCTAAATTCCTATTACTGCTGTGATAGCTTGAGTGTAAACTGTCACAAATATGATGTTTCATATAGGGGACTTTTTCTGAAATCACGCTCCTGATCTAAGTGTTTAGAGAAGAATGAGCTACATCACTTTCTTCTGAGATAACAGTCAATTCTTCTTCAAGATTTATTACCAAGATTTTACAAGTGCCTCCGGTAAGTGGCATTTCCCTCAGTGACAGCTGTCCCTATCTCTTCTCTCACTTCCTCACTGGCTGATGCAGCTACTTTCTTGGCTAATCAGGCACCTGGTTTCAAGAGCATTTTTCTTGCAAGATGACTACTTTCTCTGATTTTTGCTAAAGCAAGCCATTGCTTCCCTTCCAACAATCATCCCAGCAATGCATTTATTTTAGCCATTTTTGAAGCATTTCCCACCATCATCTCTGGGTTAAGGTTAGGATTTCACCTGTCCCACAGCACCTCCAGGAGCAAACAGCAGGACCCCTGTAGCTTTGGCAACTCCTCTGTGATCCCTATGTATACTCCTCTTATTTTGTGTCCCCACTGCCCATAACCGTGTTCCATTTGCTTTTGTCTTGAGGGAAACTTGGGGTTTCCAAAACATGTGGTCATTAACCAGGAGGCGTACATTTGTCTTGCAGACCCAGTTACCCTCTTCCCTGCCCTTCCTGCAGGCGTCTCTCTAAGCGATCCAGTTTTGCCAAATTTTCTTTCAGCAGCTTGCTGTTTGGAACCAGTTGTAAAGCTTTCTCATAATAATGACGTGCGGTGATATAGTTACCCTGCAAAAATAGGAATCGGGAACGAGAGAGAAAATCAACACACTTTTTGCACAATGTTATCAGTCATTACTTCACAGGCAGGTTCTACAGATTTCTTTCAGATATCAATGTTCTACAGACTCCATGTCAACATGGATGGTTGTTTTCTCAGTATTTCTATTTTGTTTATTTTTAAAAACATCATACTTTAATTCCTTGAAAGAGCTCAGATACTGTGTATGGTTCTCTTCCTCACTCTATTTTCACAACAGCCTTGTGAGATAAATTAAGCTGAGAAATGATACATGGACCAGAGATAATGAATAAATGTTGAGGCCATACAGGAATCTTCATCAGACAAAAAGGGTAAAATCCCAAGTTCATCCACTGCTGGATTCCACCCCCCCCCCCAATTTGGCCCATATCTCATTCTCTGCTGCTACTACCTTGGCCAATCTCAGCTACTGCTGTTCTCATCTATGACTTTTACTCTGAGCCAGCTGTCTGCCCCTTTCTTGCCTCCAGAGATAGGAACAAAGCTATATGTTTGTGAATTTCTTCTCTCCCAATAGAAGAGAATACAGTGGTACCTCTAGTTATGAACTTAATCCGTTCCGTGACTCTGGTTGCAACTCGA